AAGAGAAGCACCAGCTTGTAAGCTATTCCCATAATAAAACTTTGACTTTGACTTTGAATAGCAGACGGGGCTAACCCCATAGTCACGAGGACCTGTTGTTCTTCATTGATGGAAACCGGTAACCTAAGCCCCGAGACTTGGAGTGGCGAACCGCATAAGGCCCCAATAGGTTAGGCGTGGTATTGAACCGGAAGACGGCGAAGCTGCCTATCACCAAAGTTGGGTGGCGATGTCGGGGCTCGAACCTCGGAATATAGGGTCCAAAACACGCCTGCAACAGCGACTAAACCACAGCGGATTATCATGTTTTGAATCTATCATTCGTTCCCGAAGACTTGTATCATCGCCACTGCCTCACATGGCACTGCCTTAGTCTGTTCCACGTTAATCCCACCCAGACATCACCTCTTTGTGGATGAGTGCTACCAGACAGACAGTGAAACGAGCCGCACATATAAACACAATCGATTGAGTACAGCTCACGAAAAACAGGTCGTCTAATTACATGCTGTATCAATCTGCGAGATGTGAACACAGTGCTAGCCGGTTAGATAGACTTGGGTGTGATCCGGCCTGTAGGAGAAACGAAATCCTCGTTTTTTGAACGCTATAAAAAAGAGTGAATTTTCAGGGAACTGAATTCCCGCCAAACTGGTCGAATTGGCACAGTTAACAAACAGCAACAACTGCATGCAAGCTAAACACAGGTGAACATCAAGTCCAGCCAAATCAAGAAGTTGTTTTGTCACACCCTATAGATGCACACTAGGCTGCCCAATGTCCAACAGATAAAAATGGGGGACGGGCAATTAAATCAACTATGAGAAGAGCGTTAACTTGGAAATCACGAAAAATATGGTCCGTATAACCGAAAAATGCGGCAAGATGAGGAACCAAGGAAGGGCTGTTGTATGCGTTGGTATGTGCGTGAATGTGTTCGTATTTGGAATAAGTGGAAGAGACAGAAACAATTAGATAATGCAGAATTATAAGATCGGCATGAGGCAGACAATACCTGATATGCAAGCCTATGACAGGTTTGGTGTTTTGGGAGGCAATTTAGTAAATGATGTGAGCCCAGGGTAAATCACAACACATGGACATATATATATTTGATAATAAGTAGTATGTGAGTCACTGGACAAAATATCCCTGGGAGCACATAACCGGTTTTGCGGTTCTTGGCGCTCGTCAGGCATGCGTATCCAGTAATCTTCTGCCAGTTCATTCATATGCCTCCCAAGGCCTCAGTATGGTTGGGGGTGGGTGTCTAGGGTTGCGGCTGGTCACCCTGCCCTTGCAC